CTAAATTTATTTATTATATCTGCTGTTGTGCTGTTATATAATATGAAGAACTGAATAGTAGCCAATGACACTTTTTTCTTCACTTCACCTATTCAGTGTATAGGTTTTTCTCATAGTGACTACAAAGCATGTTCACACCAAAAGTATATTTGATACTTTTCACTATGATATAGGTCCATGTTATCTCTCTCTGGTTAACTTTTATTCAGAGTTACTGATGAGGTGTAGATCTCTCCAAAAATAATATAACCCAATAACACACGTTGATCAAAGTGTAGGTTGAACTGGACCCCAGTTTATTTATTGTAGCTTGCACTATGCTCTCACCAGGTGATTATTGCTTTGTCACATTATTTTAGTAGATGTGGTTTAAAGAACAATAAAATTAAATGATAACAGTTATGAAAAAGTTAAAGGGCTGAAGATGTTAGCATAAAGAACTGTAATTTTTTGTTATAAGTAGTCATTCTAGACAGAAAAGAAGGATAACTTAGATTTATTTTGTATTTTTTGTTATGTGATGGTTACAAGGTTGGTCAAATTAACAGTTAGTGTTAAGGTATAGAAAATAACAGAAAAAATCTAATGTTTTATTGAAAAAATAACTATTTGTTTACGAGGTTCTGGAGGTTGTGTAATTGAAATGCAAAACTGTAAGATGAAAAAATATTTTTATTCTTAACTAGAAAATCATCATGCACTTAGACTGATCAAGAGCCTGAGTCAGACTCAGTAAATCTGCAGAAAAATCTTTAGCAGAATTCTTAATTAAAAATTTTGATTTTCTGCACAACATACTTGTAATTCTTTCTAAAAGATTATAAAATTTTGTAAAGATACAATAAGTAAATTTATAATTATACTAGACATTAATTCTCCAGTACGGGCCTGGTTCAATGGATTGATCCTGTGCATGTAAGGTTAAACTATTTGTTTCCACATAAGTAACATCTACCAAAAATATTACAAAGACCAATAATTTTCATAACCTAAAACCACTGCAGAAACAAAATGTGTAAGTAACTAGTTGCATCTCCAATGTTCAATAAATATGATTTTTGTTGCCAGTGGTTGAGTTGTTGCAAACTGTCAAACAGATGTCAGGTGTCTTTAGATTAGTTAGAACAAATGCATACATGCATATAAAAAGTAAAGGGATTTACAATTTCTTTGAATTGCTAACTTGTTGGTATTATATACTTTCAATAGGATCTTGAAATATAATCAGTAAAAACCCATCTTCAATAATGGTGACTGTACCTGGACCAATAAATGTGTTTTGACATTTATCCATTATATTAATGGGCCATATTTGGAATAAAATATACCACTAATGAACGATCAGTGGTATTTGCTAACTGACTAGTTGTGGCATAGTAATAAATTACATTCAACTAATTGATTATTCTCTATTAATGAAATTAATTGCCCAGTTCTACTGCTTGTTAATTCACATGTGATGTAAAGTACATGGTTATATAAAGGAATGTGTTTAGGATATATACAAAAATTTCTGGTTGCAGTAGTTTTCTGCTGATTGTGTGGGTTTTTTGTGTGTTAAGTACTATATGAACAATGGAAACTAGAAATGTTGTGGCAGTGAACTGATCATAGTTTTTTATTTTAATGATGATATCCAGTTGAAATCAAACATTAGCCATTCAGGCTTTGTGAAACTTGCTACAGCTAGACATACTGAAGAATACTAAGTTTATATGTTAAATACTTAGAATCATGAAACATACCACTATCAAAATTAGATGTTCATGTTTTACAACAGTATAAGTATCAGGTGAACCTTTGTAAATGCCTACCATGGTTGAAAATCCTTTTTTTTCTTCCGTGTTTTCAATAAATTAACGTTTTTAGTCAGGTTCTGAATAAATAATACTAGCAGTTAACAATTCAATTTGGTAAGTAGTTTTTGTTTCAAGGACTGAAAATATTTTCCATTGAGAACAAAGTTGCATACAGGATTTACTTGTTTCTGAATATGTAAAATGCCTTGGTTTGCATTCTGAAGCTAGTTTTATCATTCTGAGTTGATTTCATTCTTTTAAATATTAAAAGTTCATATTACATTATAAAACAAAAGTAACTGTTCGTTTTGTGACTATACTTATATCCATTAGGCCAACATGACTGAATGCAAATGACAGTGTAGTCACAGACATAAATTGGTTGATTTCTGATTGGTGACAAACAAATAACATCTACTTTGATTTTAAAATGTATTAATTTTTTCGAGTTATATACATTTTATTCAGATTGTCACAGTTTAGCACTTCATTATTTCATTCATATGTACATAAAAAGAGTGATTAGCTGTTTTCACAGCAACTTACGAAAAATGTGGTTTAGCATTACAGTAGATTTTTAGTTATGTTTGATAGTTATACTATGCAGGTATACAATAAAGAAAAGCTTTTAGATGAACAACAGTTTTCTAATGAAACTGGAGAAAATTGTAATTGTAATAGCTGTTTGTAATTGTGTGTTTATATAGTCTAATTCTGTAAATTGCATCAAAAGTATATACACAAAAGTTCAACACTTATATAACAATGATGAAAAATACAGAAAGTAAAACCAAAATTGTCACAACAAAATTGACCATTATAATATTTATAAAAACAAATACAACTAAAACAATTCCACTGTTGTGCCAGTAACACAAACAAAATAAGAAAATTAAAAATTATGCTAATTGTAAAGAAAGTACAATAGGTATAATTATTAAATGGAAAAATGTCTGTAACAATAGATTCCAAAAGTGTCGGACATAATCCAAAATATGCAGATGAGAAAACAACAAATGGGGTTTAGTTAGTGGGTGCTATAACTCACAATTTCCCCCAAACCTACTACTACTCACTGTCTGCAGCTGGTTGTGAGTATGATAGTCATCTTTGAAAGCCATTCTTGTTATTAAAAGACTGCACTTAATTTCAATGTTTGTGAAACACTTGGCCTCTAACTGATGACAAGTATTACCAGATAACAAGAACTGCGAAACGTTTACGTAGATAGTTCAGTTATTACTGAACATCCATCATTTTCCTTTATCGTTATTCAAGGCTACTTGAAGTTGACTTTTCCAGGTCCAGTATATATAAATTGAGTCAAATCTAATAATAAAATTAGATTTAGAGCTGATGCTTACAGAATCTGGTGGTTTTGAACTACTAGCATCCTCTTACAGATTGCATATTATAAAGGAAGGTAGCCATAACATCTGTAAAGGATTTATTATTTAACAGGTTATGATATTTGTTACAAAAGAGTTTAAAAACACAAATAATTTTCCATGTTTTATAAATATTAAAAATTTATTCAATTGCTAACAAATTATCATTATCTATAAAGTACTTAATTGGGAAATGATTTTCCAACTGAATATAGGGAACTACACTATTTGGAGAGGGTAAACTAAGGATAGGAAAATTAAATTTCTGTTGTTTATCAAAACTGGCCAATTCTACTCAACCTTTATAATAATATCTGTATATTAAAAATGTGCACCATGATTAATGTTACATCATTCTAATTGAAGATCTGTGGATATATTTTAAAGGGATCAAAATTGATATTATTAATAGAAATTTAATCATACATATATAGTAAAAGCATACAAATAGAATCTGCTAATTGTTTCAAAAAGGTGTTTTCATAAAGTACAGATACAAATTAGCCAATTACTTGTTTAAATGGATGTTAATTTAAAACAATACAGTTATATATATATATATATAAATTAAGTACCTTTTTAAACTGATTTTTAGTGAAATTATATTTGGAGATAACTAAAGTTTGAACAATTAAAATACTAAAGGCTTATCAAATTTTTTAAATCTGTTTTAGTATGTAAAAATAGAAATGTCTGGTTCCAGAGAATTTAAAGTAGTTAAACATTCCAAAACTACTGACATTTTGTTTTTATTGAGTGTAACAGAGACAGAGCTAGTAATACTATGTATTGAACTAGTAATAAATCTAAGTTTAATAGGTATGTCATTTTGCTGTTGTATAAAAAATAAATAGTGAATTTAATATTTATAGTACATTCTTATGGCTTTCTGTAGATTAGTAATAATTAGAGCTGGGTGGTTAGTGATATTTTTTATTGATTAGTCAGTGCCCCCCCCCCCCCGATTTGTACAGTATTCCTTAAACAGTGATATGTATAAACAACAATAATAACAAAACAAAATTGCACCAGATACTGCTAGCCTACCCTCTAGTTAGCAGTTCAAAAAAGAAAAATAAAGTTAGTGGCAGTTGCCTGCCCTCTAGTCAGTAGCTCAAATTATTTACAGTGGCAAGACAGCCTTAGTAGCTTTGCCATAACAAACACAAGGCGAGCAAGTTTGGTGGCAGTGGGAATCAAACCCAAAACCATTTAATCACAAGCCCTTCCCTGGATTCACCAAAGCAGAACAAACTTGAAAGTAAAAACATTTGTAAGGCTAAAATTGAGCAGAGCATGGATATACCATTACATATCTTTATGCTTAACAACAAATAAATGTGAGAGAAATATTCTGATTACTTGGATAGTTGGAATAACTAAAAATATTAATAACTAGAAACCCTAATTTTGATTGATTATTTTTTGTGATAATCAATTTCATTGTAATTTTGATTAATTGATTGCTGTAAAAATCAAAAACAATAATCTAGAAACCCTAATTTTGATTAATTATTTTTGGGATAATCAATTTAATTGTAATTTTGATTAATTGATTGCTGTAATAATCAAAAACAGTAATAATTGGAAACACTAATTTCAGTTTGGTTGGAAATGTTTCATCTTGATTATTTTTGTGATAATCAATTTCATTGTAATTTTGATTAATTGATTGCTGTAATAATCAAAAACAATAATAATCAGAAACATTAATTTCAGTTTGGTTGGAAATGTTTCAACTTCAATACTTTTGTGGATTATAAAGGATAAAACTAGTCATTAATAACATTTATGTTTTAAAACTATCACAATTTAAGATTTTTCTTTATCCTTTATTTTAATGCTAGTACAAAATGGAAAGTAATCACAATCTAAATTTAATTAAATAGAAAATAGGATCTTTACTATGATAATTTTTAAAGTTAAAACAAATCTTTTGTGTTTGTGTTAATGCTTGATTTTGATGTTATTGTTTTTTTCTTGCATAATAGGTTTTTAGAAACCAGACACAAAGACCATTACAAGATCTACAATCTGTAAGTTGTAAACATATTGATTCTTGATGAATTGATAAAAAGTCAGTTTATTATGGAAATTTCACATATTATTAAACAATTATACTTGTATATGTAACTTTTTGATATTTTTAAAATGTTATTTAACCTTCCAAAACTTGTCACAGTAGAAAGCTTATCTTAAGAGTATTGTTTTGTACATGTAAAGTCTTATTTTTACAAATTATATTATTTGTCTGGATAATTTTCATGTAACATTTACCAGATATTTTATCAATTACAAAAATCATCTATAAAGTTCTGATTATTTGTGAAATAGTTTAAGAGTTCTTGTCTAAATTTCTAGAGCCTGAGTTAATGTGATATTTATGTAAAACATGACATGTGTACATACAAGTCTTCACTGAATAATTTTTTTGTTGAACCCTGCTGAAAAAAAAATCATTCTCTCAAGTTTTGAATATGTTATCAAGATACAACTTAAGGTAGACTTTTAAGGCTTACAGAATCATTGTCAAATTGTCCTACATGTTACAAATAGAACACAAAATAATAGTCATATTCACTAAATTACCAATTATATCTAGAAAATGTGTGTGAACACAAATTTTAAATTCCTACATTAAAAGGATAAAAATGTTTTATACCATTGATAAGAAACTAAGTGTTAATTGTCTCGATAATAAAGTCAGTATTTAAAGAATGGAGATTATTGTAGGTTAACTGGATAATAAAGTCAATATTTAAAGAATGGAGATTATTGTAGGTTAACTGTATAATAAAATCAATATTTAAAGAATGGAGATTATTGTAGGTTAGTTCTATAGTAATGTATTTGTAGGCCCTCATTTGATTGAAACTGTAATCAGTTGTGAAGAAACTGGGATTTTACTGAATTGAATTAATAATATTTTCTCTCTAGATGCTCTGAAAGAAGTTATGACACAGGCAAGTTCCATCAGCGTGTAGCACAGTATCCTTTCGATGACCATAACCCTCCAAGACTTGAACTAATGAAGCCATTTTGTGAAGATGTTGACCGTTGGCTTTCTCGTGATAATAAGAATGTTGCTGCCATCCATTGTAAAGCTGGGAAAGTGAGTTATTATTTTGCAAACATAAATCCAGTCTTTTTTTTTTCTCAAAGAGAACAAATCTGTGTTTTTGGAATGCACTTATATAAAAATCTCAAGTAATTACTCATATCCAACACACTTATGTTTTGCAAACTAAAATCATCAATTTTATTTTTAGATTTATCTCATATGAACTTCTATGGGAATGGATTCAAAGTGGGATAAAGAAATTCTAATAATAAAGATGAAGAAAGTTGATAACATACACAATATATTTATTTACAAATACTTTGAATGTTTCAGAATACACCTGTTTCATCTTCAGGGAAATCTGGAAGTAATAGTATAATTATACTTATTAACAGATGCTATAGTAACTTTATTAAATCTCTCGACACGGGCTTGGTCAATTTGACTGACCACATGACCTCTTTGTACTCGATTAAAGTCTTTATAGATTTAATACTTCTGACTTTCAATACAGTGTGTATAGCTTCACAAAATTTGGCAGTCTTTCAGTTCATACTATATGTCTTTAACAAATAAAAAAAATCATATTTTTTAGTGAAGTATTTTTAATAAAATAAAATATAAATTTGTTCATGAATATATTGAGTTATTTGTTTTTAATAGTCCGTGTGCAAAGTAATTTTCATGTTAAAATTAAAAATACTTTTCCTCATCTCATAAATCTCAAGTTTCCTTTGTGTAATCCCTAAAACCTCCTAAATGCATTTCAAACATTTTGTTTCAGTAAAACTTTATAGTTTATCTGTTATTTTCTCAACCCTATCTCAAAACAGGATTGGTCAAATCGACTTACCTCGTAACCACCAAAAAGAAATCGAAATAAACCTAAATTACCCTTTTTTTCTTTCTAAAATGACTTCAAATTGTAACATGAAACTACATTCGTTTATTCTAAGTAGATCTAAGTTCATAATAGTATACATCTATT